TAAAAACAGTAATATTGTGAAATATTATTGCAATTTAAAATAACTTTTTTCTATTTGAATATATTTGACATTTTATTTATTCCTGTGATGGCAAAGTTGAATTTCACAGTTAGCCAAACGGCTGTCTGTTTCTAAGTTGTACCTTTTTCCTGTCTTGGCGTTCGGCCTCCTCTTTCTGGAAACGACTCTCTCTTTCCAGTCTCTGCTGCTCTGCCAGCACCCTCTGACGAGCCTCTTGCTCTCTCTGAAAGTACATTATGGAGATTATAGGATTTTTATTTTTATTATTTCCAATGATCCTTTTAACATGATATGATCCTAGCTTTATTTTAGGTGAAAAAACGAATGGTCAGAAGCCAAAAAACTTGACCAAAAGACAAGTAAGATGGTATGTCAGTGAGAGGAGCATAGGAATTACTATATAAGCCTGATGTGTGTATTTTTTGCACCAAATGGACAATATTGTTTTCCTGAGCACTTCCCCACTGGTCAAAGCGGCCACAAATTAAAGCCAGAGCTCAAAATTTATTCACTTTTTGGTTACACTTTCAAATGGTTTAACATAGGTTTGGGAAAATGGTTTAAACAGCCAAAAGCTTTTAATACCTGCTGTTGAAGCCTGTTTTCTTCCTCTTTCTGTCTGCGAGTGTTTTCCTCTTCAGCCTTGAGTCGCTCTTCTTCCTCTCTCTTCCTCTTCTCCTCCTTCAGTTTGAGGGCCTCTGCTTCCTGTCTGGCTCGTTCTTCAACTCTTTGACGGGCCAGTTCCTCTCTGCTCTTTCTGCAAAGATGAGCTGCACAAGCTCAGTTAGGTGCCTAATGCACTTTAAGAATTTATATCTGTCATCATGAAGTTCAAACTCTGTGTGTTTTCAAATACAGAATTTTAACTTTAGCATATTTAACGGTCCAATTACTTCATCAAAGAACAACTTAAATTGTGGCCTTTTCATTTTACAAATACAATTTAGCACTGATAATCAAAAGCAGTTGTAAAATACTAAGACACAAAAGAGGACATTCACTAATAGAAGAAAGGTAAGAATACACAAAAAAAAAAACCTTTCCATCTCCTCTTTCAGTCTGCGCTCCTCTTCCTCCTTCTCTCTCTGGAGTCGGGCTTGTCTCCTTTTCTCAGTCAGCAGGCGAGTGGCCTCTTCAGGGTCTGTAGTCCAAGCAGCAGCTCTGACTTGCGCTGCCTCACCAATCTGACTTGGTCCTGAAAGTGAAAAAATGTAGAGAGAGAGGAATTTTTTACATATTTATTAATGTCTGAAATATATATATACATATAGATACTAAATTATTTATTATAAATTATTATATATTATATTAATTAAATTATACATATTAAATTAAAGATATAAAGTATAGATAGGAAAAAAAGAGAAGAAAAATATATATACGTAAAATACATATATATATATATATATATATATATATATA